TATATATATATATTTTTTTATATATATATATATATATATATATATATATATATATATATATATATATATATATATATATATATTAATACAAGCTAATATGTCATCCATCTCGAAGAAATGTTTCTTACTTTTTAGATATTTTTCTTTTTTAGTATATACTGAGAAAAAATACTTACAAATTTATTTGTGAGAGATAAAGTTTATTCATAGAACTTTATGTCCTACAAGTGCTTTTTCTTCAGTGTAATATAGACAATGATAAATGGTAAATCGCGAGATAAACAACGTCCACGTTGCGCGCGTATTTACTAAATAGTGTACGTAATAAGTGTACAATAAATATACAATAAATAAACATACGTAATAAGTAATTTCGTATTTTCCAGCGGATTTCCCAAAAAAAATTTCGAAATTACTTATTTAATATATTTCACGTTTTACATCAAAACGTGAATATAAGATTCTTTACATCAAAACGTGAATATAAGATTCTTTACATCAAAACGTGAATATAAGATTCTTTACATCAAAACGTGAATATAAGATTCTTTATAAACTTGTGCGAAAATTGAAATTCGAAGTAATGCAAGTGACATTCAATATAAAAAGTTCACAAGTTGTGATAAAGTTTTCCTTATTCTAGAATAAATTAAATTTTTTGGTAATACAATTCGTAAAGGAATCATCGAACTTATTCTTTTATTAAATCTTCATTTTTGCCAGGATTCAATTAGAACAGCGGAATTCAAGAGCTAATTGCGTTAGGCATTAAAGATACGATATAAATACGAAGCATCGTTATTGCAATGATAACGAATATTTCCCATCTGTCTGAAGTGCCAGATGGTTCCGAACACGTCATACCTCCTTGATAATCAAGATTAATTTAATCTCCGTATATCTAATAATACGGAAAATAAACTTACGCTCGATATTGTACGCAAATAAGAGACAAGTGGTTTGTTGTAACAGTGACGTTATTAAGATCGATCATTGTGACGTCACGGTGGCATTATATTGCAAGTGTTCTCAGTGTTTGAGAAAAAAACGCGATATCGTGTCTGCGTTTGGTGCATGAAGCCGGATTTATCCTGCAAAAATTGGAATATTGACGGAAATTCTAATGATAAGAATGTTATCATTCTAAACTCTTTTATTATTAAAAATGTTATAAAATATATTATTTTATTCAAAATGTTATCATTAAAAATTTTATCACGACACATGTTCATTCGTTTATCTTTGTATCATCTATGATACAGTTTGTTTCAGCGGAACAGATGACACGATGTTTCTGATACTGCTTGCCGAGGTCATTTTGAAAATAGCTTTACTGAGAAAAAAATACTTGAAAATTTCTTTGTGGAATATAAAGTTTATTTACAGAAATAAATTGTTTCACAAAAATTTCATAGAAATAAATTTTATTTCACAGAAAAATAAACTTTGTATCTCATAAAAAATATTTCATCATAAAAAATATTTCATCATAAAAAATATTTCAAATATTTTTTTTCTGTATGTTTATGACGTATGTTTATAACGTAGATGCACTGCAAAAATATTTGAAAATTTATGCAGAATATAAAGTTTATTCACAAAAATAAATTTTATTTCACTGAAATCAACTCTTCACAAAAAGAAACTTTATATCCTACAAATAAATAAATCTACAAATAAATTTTCATCTACAAAGTATTTTCCCTCAGATTGCATATTGAGAAAAATAAATGCTTGAAAATTTATTTGTGGGATATAAAATTTATTTCTCCACAGAAATAAAGTTTATTTCACTGAAATAAATTTTATTTTAATGAAATAAATTTTATTTCACAGAAATAAATTTTATTCCACAGAAATAAACTTTATATCCCGCAAATAAATTTCAAGTATTTTTTTCTTAGTCAGCATGTGACGACGTCTCGCACTGCAAACGACGTTAATTATATCGCAGCGAGAAACTCTGAATCATTAACGCCGTTATAATACTGTGAGCCTCACGTCACATACCTCCGCAACTTTACAAACTTTACAACGCGTCGTGAAAAATATCGTCTAATTACAAATGTTTATCAGGTTCTACGAGTCTCGTTCATATTACGTTATCAGTCCAATACTATATCGATGTTACGTTACCGTCCACTTGTCGTTTATTTTGTCAATTAACATAACAATAAGGAATGTAAACGGTTACGTTTCGTTAATAAGTATGACTAGTTACGTCATGGGATGGAGAGCGCAACAAAGTATATAAATATGCGTAACGTCATACCGCATGTATCTCTATCTGCTACAAAATGTAGTGTATTACTCGACAAAGTCACTCTTCACAGCAAAGTGAGACAGTTGCAGAAAATAAGGGGAGCATTGCTAAAGGGAACACGAGAAGAAACTGCTCAGAGGAAAGATACAATAAATAAATCTGTAAAATCTTTGTCGGCGGCGATAAAAAATGACAAATCTGATATGATCATTGATTGATCTTACCTTCTAAAGCGATTAATAGAATGTTCTAAGGACGTTTCCGTTTTTAAATGCGATTTCACAGTTTGAAGACTGCGCTTATCGCGTCAGAGAGTAAGAAAGAGAGAGAGGAAATAGTATAGTTCAATTCTTCGGCAGCAAAAACTTCGGCAGCAAGGTTATGAATATACAGAACAGCGCATGGAAGTTAGACTCATAACGAATTTGTTACAAAAAGATGTCGCTGATCAATTTTTCTAACCGTGCAAGATCGGAGAGAAATATAAACTGTGAAAAACAGTAAATAAATCGATCAATCATAATCAATGATTTTTCTTACGATCCGAGAATTATAAATTATGACTGATAAATTATGATTAAATCTGGGACTGATTAATTTTCATACTGCTTATGTTTTTCTATATGCCATAGGGCCTGAGCACAGACTTTTGCATAAGTCCCGAGCCACAATAGGTGTAATAAGCTTGCTTTAAGTCTTAAGAAATTGACCAATCACAGTCGATTATTCTCCTCAAATTTGACTGTGATTGGTCAATTTCTTAAGGCTTGAAGCTTACTACACCTATTGTGGATCGGGATTTACGCATAAGGAGCGCATGAGGAGCAAATGTCTGGACGCCTCAGGATGGATTATGATTGGTTATGCGTTATGCAAAAGTCTGTGCTGAAGTCTATACGCTTAAAAGTATTGTATTTATTTATCAAAAGTATTTTCTACCTCCACCGTCAAAGATTTCAATTATAGCGGTGTTAGATGCACGCATAGATCACATCTCGCGTTACACGTACTCTTCAGATTTTTTCTGTACTGTCTATTTCATTTCAAAGTGAGCGTCCTTTAAAAATGCGAAGCAAGCGGATCTATGATGCTCCGAGCGTCATTGATATCTTGCAGCTGCAGTTTAGATGTTTTCGTGTCGAAAACATTGCGTCCAAACATGTGTTTTGAATTTGCGTCTGACAATTCGACAGATGCAAATGTTGAAAATTACACGAAGACCACAAGATAAATAACAGATATACGATATCAAATCGACAAATTCAGCAATTCGATGATTGTGAGAGATCCATCTGGACACGATATGTTCGAGTCGAAAATGCGTAAACCGCAGTACTGAAAGACGCTAAATATTTTCCAGCTTTAGTTTAGTTCGTACCGAAGACATTGTGTCCAGATATTTGCTCTGAATTTGCGTCCAACAATCTGACAAATGTTGAAAATTACACATAGAATATATGAGAAATAACACACGATATCAAATAGAGAAATTCATTAATTTGATCTCATCAATCGGCAATTTCGACAGAGATCTATCTAGACGCGGTGCAGTCGATTCGAAAATGCGTAAACCGAAACTGGAAAGCGCTATTAATACTCTCCATAGACTCAGTGAAGCACAACAACACATCGTGTTGTATACACACGAGTATATGCGCAAAAGAAACCCAAGCACTGAAGAAAAAAAAACGAAACTGAAAAGAAAACCGAGTGTCGGAACCATCGTGATCTCGGCGAGTTTGATTCTCCACAGAAGCAAGAAGCGTCCCAATCGTCTCCTGATTGTCACGTTTTTTTCCAACAATCGCAAACGCCAAGAGCGTAACATTTTCGCGTGCTCTGCAGCTTTAGGAGTCGATCTCGCCGGGATCGTAATCGGCTCCGATCAGAGATCACTCTGGGCAAATGTTCGCAGAAAACAAGGAAAATTGATCGCGCGCTTGTGCAACGGCAATACCTTATCGTCAGCGGTGATCCAAACCATTTTGGCGGGCTGCGCAAAGAAATGGGAGACCGATATTAGTGACGGTGAACTCACGACGATCCGTCCGGCTGCAGTCGTCGTGTGCGAATGCGGCGGGTACCTGACCGCGCGCGCCGTCGTCGACGGTAGTCGGAAGTGCCATAGCACCGGACGGAAATGGAGTGGGAAACCGAAGACGCCGGTGCAATGCATCGGCGGGAACGATAGCAGTGCAAACGGCAGATTCGCGAGAATCGCGACCGCGCTTCCTCGACGACAGCTAGCTCCGAAAATAGCGCAATAGTCGCAGGAAGAAAGAAAAGAAGAAAATCGAGCGAGGCGAGAGAGTTTGCTGGACCTGGTAACTTTCGGGCGAAACTGCTTTAAACCATTCGAGAGCTACCCAGGTTCCATAGTTCGAAGTATTTTCCTATTTTTTATGCCATCAAGATGTCTATTCTGGTCAGTCGCCTACAGTTCGCCTTTCTACGATAGGATTATCGCCGGAAAATTGTGTCAGATGTCCTTCGTGGTTCTCCGCGGAAACCAATAACTTCACGAGGTCACCTCGCGCGAAGTTCAGGACGGTTGGTAAGAACAAATTGGCCAAAGTTATGCAAGAATGATCCGATCCACAAAATTATTTTTGAATTTTCCTTTTTTTACCAATAGGTGGCCCGTTTGTGTCTTTTTACATAAAAAGATTCAAGCTTTATAGTCTAAAATTAATTAAAAGACAGTTTTTATTTTCTACTGATTGGTACAGCCAGTAAAAATGGCGCATTTTTTTACTACTAGTTACGTCTTTTTTAAAAGGTTAAGCTTGTCAATAAATAACCTTCATTTTTCTCGAAACATATTGCATATAAGTTGGATCATTCTTGCATGACTATGACAAATCGTGAATGACTATATTACATTTATAATGGCGTTCCGTGAAAATTTCTGTGAACTTTCATAAATTTGTTATGCAAGATAAGACATTATAGCTATTATTACCTTGAATATCTTCGAGGCAAAAAGCAAAGATAGCCTTCAGATCATCGAAGCTACTTTATCTACACTGAGAAGAAATATTAAAAAATTTATTTATGGGATATATAGTTTATTTCTTTAAAGTGTAAAGTTTATTTCTGCAAATAAACTTTATATCTCACAAATATATTTACAAGCATCTTTTTCACAGTGTAGAGAAAAAAATATGGCAACTACAAAGGTATATACGAGTTTTGTAAAATTATAATGTATATAATTTATTAAACCTATGTAGTAGCTAATTATTTTTTCGGAGTATAAAAAATAGGCATTATTGTCATAAGATGTTTTTTTCCAGTAGCTTCGAAGAAGTTTTTTACATGTTTTTTGAGACGGAAAAGACCACTCGTTTGCACTGATACCCGCTATCGTTCGTGGATACCCGATTATGATCATATTAAATGTTCCATTGAAAATTATACTTTAAAAACAACTTCCGTCGTTTGTAACGGGCGTTTATATTATACATGCGCGTGATTACTAAGCGTAATCGATAGCCATATTCGCTGATAATATCAGTAATCAAATATAATCATGTATAAAATTACTGGATGTTTCCTGAGAATCTCATTTTGAACAGGAGGTATCAGGTGATATCATATAGAATATCAGTATTAATATAATTTTGAATCAGTTGCAATTGATTCCAGCAAATTCGATTGGACGCGCTGTTGAAATCAGAATATAAAAATTGTAGTTTGCAAACGAAGGAATTCTGCAGAAAGAAATCAATCAAGTCAGCGTATTATAAATTTTGGCTGAATTGCCAAATTGTGTGATGCGAGTGTTCAGTATGTCGGAATATCGCTAACATTTGACTAATCAAGATGAAAATTTAGTCTTTATGAAAGATTATCAAGTGTCTTAAAAAATCGTAAAAAACGCCAATTTGAATTATATTTCCCATAAGAATATAAAAATACGTATTTGTGTAAAACGTCTTACTATATATGTTATTCCATATCGAAAATAAACGAAAATTTTGTAAATATAAATTTAAAAAAATTGTTTCATATAACTTGGGGTACTCCGCCATTCACTGACATTTATATTTTGTCTGCATAAACTTTTGCAATTCTATACAAATAGAAAAACAGTGCAAAATATGAAAGCTGCACGATGTCAGTATCCAGCACTTTGAATCTCTTGTGTAATGTAGCACATGCTGCGCACGCTCTGCCTTCGTGATTATTTTGCATTTTCCCGCTGATACGGCATTCGAGCTCTGGGTTTCCTCGGAGCATGCGTGAACACGTGCTCCATAAGAAGTCAGCTGATACCAACAAAGCGCGCAGTTTCCTCTGACGCGTAACCTTCAACCTCAAGCACGAATTCATTCATAATAATAAAGGTCTGCATGTTCTACTTTTACACACGTCGCTGTGCCTCTCTGATTTTAGATTGAAATTTAGCTGAAGTTAGATTGTGCGTGACATACTCAGTGAGGAAAAATTGTTTAGGATTGCTGTAGTCGACTTTTTAATTGAAATCTTATTGTTTTCTTTTAACATAAATCGATCTCTCAGGTCATTCTACGTATAAAAGTACCGAATATCATCTGAAAATATCGAATAACATCGAAAAATCAATATTTTTTGACATATTTTGTATTTTATCTTTATACTTTTCAATACATAACAAATATCTCATATAGTATTTATTTTCCACATAATATAAATATCTAAAATATATCATAAAGATATTTTAAAGAGATATTTCTCGCGACGTCTTTAAGATATCTCTATGATATATTTTAGAGATTTCTGTGTAGATTTCTAATGACATCACTTTAATAACTTTTGCACTAAAACGACGAATAGAATCGATTGTTGCAAAAAATAACAGAGAACAGAGAAAAATATATAAAAAATATTTCATTGCATTTCGCAGATGCATTATTACATAAAGTTTAGTATCATCAATCAATTCCTCTCGTTATTCCAGAGTCATCTGTAAGTTGGAAAGTGAGAACATTCGAAGAAAAAATTTTTTAAAAATATTAATGCCGAAGAAAAACATTTCAGAGTATATTCAAAACAGTCTTTAAATATCAATTCCATTAAGACGTAAATAGCTTAATTTTAAAATTAAAGATACCATAAAAACAAGGAACATCATGTCAGAGATAATGACAAAAATATGTTCTCAAAATACTTTGAAGAATATCTCGGAAGATATAAAGCAGACTTTAGCTTTTAAACATTCTTAGGAATGTGTTCTGAGAATAAATGCATATCACATGGAAATGTTCCGTTTTTCAGATACTTAACTTTTGACTAGATATAAGATAAAGAAAACGTGCAAGACAAATAAAATTTCGAATTGGATACTATATGTATGGTTGGAATACGGTTCGATAGATACATTACTAAATTTACAATTAGAGTGAGAGCCGCGGTAATAGCAAAATTGTCATTTCTGTGAAATAATTCTATAGCAACAGATAATTTATCTAATGTGAAAAAAATCGCCTTGAGGCATTAGAAATTATTTTGAGACTGAGAAGAAAGACTTATCTGTCTACAATTTTATATATATGTACAGGGTGTCTCAGATATGATGACCCTTTGTGAGAACATAGAACGGATTGAGGTGAGCAAGAAAATCCTGTGCCGTTAGATGTGCGATATTCGCAATAATAGTCGAGATATTAATTAAAAAAGATTGGTGAATGATCACGCGCAATATGGTACATGAGTTGCAGTAGCATCATCTGCCGTTGTATACTTATATATTAAATCAAACTGAACAAAAAAGTCCTTTACCATTTTGTAAATGATCATATAGATTTTTAGATATTAATTAAAGAAAATTTGTGCATTATGGTATACAATCATATATGTAACAATTTTCTTTAATATTTAAAAATCTATGTGGTCATTTGCAAAATGATAGAGAACGTTTTTGTTCAGTTTGACTTAATATATAAGTACACAACGGCAGACGGCGCCACTGCAGCTCGTCTACCATATCGCGCGTGATCATTCACCAATATTTTTTAATTAATATCTCGACTATTATTGCGAATATCGCAAAACGGCAGAGGACTTTCTTGCTCATCTCAATCCATTCTACATTCTCACAAAAGATCATCATGGAGGTCTGAGACACCCTGTACATATATATAATGTCTATTTGTATCTACCTGTTGGCTTTAAAATATTCTCGTATTTTCGTTGCGGAACAGATAATAGAAATTAAACACGTTTAAAACAATAATTTATTTCGCAATTCGTATAAAATATTGGATAGTGTAATAAGTAAATATTGGATTGTGTAAGTAATTTTGAATTTTTTTAATATAATGAAGTGATTGTATTTTTATGTCGTTATAATTTTACGAAACAACGGCACAAAATCATAGATAAAACCGTGCTTTCATTTTTTTGATAAAATTACAATCATAAAAATACAATTGTTTTATTTTACATTAAAAAGTACTTATAAAACTACTCAATATTATTTATAAATTATTCTATTTCAAATTTTAGAATAGATTTACGTTAATGATAAAAATATAGAATGCTTCGAAAAAAATTTAAAAATAAAAAAAAGTCGAACAAACATAAATCTAAAAAGATACGTTGCTAGATATATACTCGCGGTTATTGACCGCTTTTTCTCCACTTCATTCTCTCTTTAACTGTAGTCTTTCCGTTCCCACTCCCTTGTTTTTTTCCACGCTACATTTATATTGCACGATGAGATAATAATTCTCATCGACCGGATTTATGCACCACGTGGTCGATGCGTGAATACTTATTATGAATATACGCTGTTATCTCTAATCATGATAATAATCCATCTTATAAAGTAAACATTTACTCTCGCTATCTAAATCCGAAATGTTTGAAATGTTGAGCTTTTAAGATTTTTTAGAATTATTTTTATTTTTTTAAATATATTTGCACACCTCTATTTAATTTATTATCGTACTCTCGGTTTCTCTTCTACAAACAAAAAGTTACATCGAAAGAAAGAAGAATGAAAAGTTTAATTATATTCCTAAATCCTATTGCATTTCATCACATTCTATCACATTTATTATGGTCTTATCTTATTACAATCTACTCTTGCCATTCTTTCATTAATCTCTCTTGCAAAGTTCAAATAAAACCGGAAACTAACCTACAAAGGAATGTATGCGTATCGTATAATTCATTAAAATTCAGTTGATTTGTTATAATTATACATTCAAGTATAAATAACGTCTAGAGATCAAGGTTGTTAATAGAAAAACCTATCAGAGACACAGCACCGTATGTCGTAACATCGACATTGAATGCAGCTGTCCCTTCGTAAAGGACGCTTCTAAACTAGAGGCCATCCATAAATTTCACGAAAATCAGCAACAACCTTGAATATTTCTGATTGGTTCGATATTAGGTCTCACAAGGAAAACCTACTCTCATTAGTCGAAAATAGATCGTCTCGTAGAAGAAAAGAGACACGGGAGAAAATCGATTCGGTGAAGCTCACAGAGATTATCATGGTATAACGGTTACCTTTGTCTCGGTCGTCCAATAAGAGAATGCGAAAGCAAGAATGGAAACCAACGATTCGCGAACGAGGAGTCGACTGTTGACTGAATAGCTGATTTACGAAGCAAACTCCTCAACGGCTCTGGTTAGACTGACGTTTTAAGGACGCGGAAGGTCACCACTCCCATTCTGGTCATGCGTACTGGTTGGCAGGTTTATAACTGGCTCTTGGCTAATTTTCACGAAGCGACGGTATTCGTACCTATCAACGCACGAATCAATACATTTGACGGTGCGGTTTCGCAACGAGGCTCCGGCACGTTGGCGGAATAATTTAAAATCAGCAAGACGCGACAACGCGAACAGCTGACAATTCGATGGGAAGAATCGGTAATTTTTATTGAAGCAGATTGCATTGTTGCGAAAATATTTTATATTATAATCTTGCCTCATGTTTGAGTAAATTCCATTTGATCGCTTTTAGCTTCAGTCGAAAAAGTTAATAGTTTTTTTCAATCAGTAGTTATTAATAGTTACCAGTAGTTATCTTGCTTTAAGTTACAGTCGCAAAATGCTGAAATGTTACACGTTATTATTTTTGAATTTAACTAAGAGCTATAAAGACGTGATTCTTGAGCATGTGATAAATTAACTAAAAGACTTGTGTTTTGACGAAAAATGAAAGGAAGTTGCTAGTAGACAACAAAACTTATGTCAAGAACTTTACTTGATATATTAATCCAAAAGAAAGGAAAAATTAAATATTGATAAATACAAATCCAAGTGAATTAATAGGGGATCTCCTTGCGATTGATCCTTCACTGAGCAAAATGTGTTCTTGATAGTGGCATGATTAATTTTTATGAGACCTTGGCGTAGCTTTCTTATCTGCCCGTGACCTACACGTTACGTCAATTAATAGTTTGATAAAGCATTTATACATCACGTGATCAATGGTACATTTATCATCGAAAACGATACGATATTGCAACGATACAGGCAAGTGAGATTGTTGCTTTTGGTAGAATTTTCGAAATAAATTCGCAACCGCTATTTTATGTAATGACTTTACATTTGAAGATAAATCTCGGAAAAAAACATATTCTAGAAATTATTTGTGCAAACAATTAACGTGTTAAAACTAAGTTCTTTTAAAATATATTTGCGCAAAAATTTCATTAAAATTAAAAAAAATGTAAGAGGGGATGTTGTAATCAATTTTATGTAGATAAGAGATTTGTTTGAGCATTTTGTTAATTCGTGATAATTATATTACGATAAGGATATTTTGCTAGAATGAAATGTTATCCAACGAGCACGTTCATGAAATTTGCTCATATTGCGTGACCTGTACAATGCTGTCCACTGATGGTGGATCACTGAACTAGAGCTGCCACATGTGGGACCGAGTACGCGTAACTATAGTGCGTGCGACGCAGTGCACACAAGCGAAGAACTGTGTACGTGTGGGCTGCCTGTCACGAACTATAGCGCTTGGCGCTTCGACCAGGTTCGGGCGGTGGAAGAGTGCAGACGTACAAGCTGCCATCTCTCTCCCGACCTATAGCTATAGCCTAATACTACAAGCGGCGAGAATCATGCCTAGGCCTTTTTATTATATCTCGACACTCGCATGTTGCTTCTCACGTGTGCGTACTTTTACTATTTAACTAATTGTTACATTAAATGAAATGTTTTTTTACACATAAAATAACTCGTCAACAAAATTATCGCATAGGTTAATTTATGTCGAAATGTCGCACAATTTTTAAGGAGAGCGGTGCACTTGGACACAGTGCATTTGGACACAGCCAATCACAGCACCGTGTGATTAGAGACATTTGTAGGGTCCCTTGGAACAGCGACTTGTGATTGGACTGTGTCCAATTGCCCCGTGTCCAACTGATATACACCCTTTTTAAGAAGCATAATACCGCGAAACATTATCGTATTTAAAAATTTTTTTTATTTCAAAAGTGAAATATATTTTAAGGAGCATATTAGTCAGATATTTTGAAATTATTCTCTCCCCTTTCCGCAGTCTTTTCACAAGTAAAGACGTATTGCGTCTCCAAAAAATTGCACAATGTGACGTATCCTACGGGATGGAATAAATTTTTTTCGTAAATTTTATGATAACCATTATAAAGTATAGTCTTTTCCGTACAATTAAGATAAAAAGCGGATTTGTGCGTTTTTTTCGCGGAGTTGCGAAAAAAACATATCAAAGTTACCTATACATTTTTGTTATCACTTTATTTGATGCACTCTGTTGAGTGGAATGAATTCTTTTCACAAATATATATATATATATATATAATAAATTTAATAATGTTTCAAGCTATATAATATATTCAGTTGTATAAAACCATTAATCTTTATCATGTACTCTCACAACTAGTTACTCAAAAGTAAATCCTTGTTTTCTATAGAAAGTAAAAATATATTCTCCAGAATTTTTTCATGTAGAATACATGTATATAAGATTAGCAGCATCAAACCATTAAGAAAAAGATCTTCAAAATTTGATAGAAACAGTACCAACTTAGTATTCCTTGTAATAATTCATTATTTCTTGAATATTTAGTACTCTTGTTATAATTCATTACTTCTTGAATACTAATAACGATAATGAATAATTGTTCCAAATTAACAATGGCAACAGTAAGTGTTGCCATTATTAATTAAGTTAGAAAGTAATAGTAAGTCATTAGTAATAGGTAGTAAATATCATAACGTAATGCTGCTATGGTTACAATTTACTTTTGGTCTGTAACTATTTGGTAAAAACATTGATCATTTTTAAATATAACTGTAATAGTTGCAGAATTTCTTGAGTAATAGTAACAAATATAATTTAAATTTTTATTGTTAGTTATAGGATCAGCAACATCAAACTGTCAAGAAACTGTTTAAAACTTAGTAAAACTGGTACTAATTTAGTACTTCTTATAATAATTTACTTTTTCTTAAATATTAATAGCAATAATGGGTAATTATTCTATATTAGTAATGGCAAAAGTAAATGATTTAATAAATAAATAATACTACAACATAATGCTTAAGATTACAATTTATTTTTGGACTGTAACTATTTATAAGGGCATTACTCTTTTTATATGTAATTGTAATAGTTGAAAAATTATATTTTTTGGATAGTAGTAACAGGTATAATTGAAATTTTTATGGTTAGTTTGTGAAAGCATGTAGAATACATGTACATAGGATCAACGACACCAAACTGTCAAGAATAGGACCTTTAAAACTTATAGATTATGATAGAAATAATATTAACCCAGTTCTTCTTAATATAACTTAATAATAACTCATAAATACTTCTTAAATATTAATAACAATAATCAGTTAATGTTCCAAATTAGTAATGATAACAGTAAGTTTTAATAGGTAATGCATACCATAACGTAATGTTGTTGAGGTTACAATTTACTTTTAATCTGTAATTATTTGGTAAAGGCATTGAACTTTTTAAATATAACTGTCACAGTTGTTGAATTATATTTCTTGGATAATAGTAACGAATATAATTGAAACTTTTATGTGGTTAATTTATGAATGTATGTAGAATACATGGAATCAACGATATCAAACTATCAAGAAACAAATATTTAAAACTTGGTGGAAACAATACTAACTTAATATTTCTTGTAATAATTTATTATTTCTTGAATATTAATAGCTATAATGAGTAATTGTTCCAAGTTAGTAATAGTAATAGTAAGTGTTTTAATAGATAATTGAGTATCATAATGTATTACTGTTACGGTTACAATTTACTTCAGATCTGTAACTATTTTGGTAAGAAAATTCTTTTTTTTTAAATGTAATTATAATAGTTGCAGAATTACATTTCTTGGATAATAGTAACAAATATAATTGTAATTTTTATGGTCAGTTTGTGAATGCATGTAGAGTATGCGTACTACATGAGATCAGCAGCATCAAACTGTTAAGAAAAAGATTTCCAAAATTTATTAAAAATTATATTAATTCAATATTTTATGAAATAATTTATTACTTCTTAAATAAAAATTATGATAATAAGTAACTTTTCCAGATTAGTAATGATAACAGTAATTTTTTTTAGATAACAAAGATAACATAAGTAACAAAATAATGAATAGCAGCATATTAGTTTTAAAACATAACTTTTCCTATCCTGTATAATGTAGCATAATTTTTATATACACATACATATACAATAAGTAAAATGCACTGATATTTTAATATAATAAAACTTTATCACACTTTGTTTCAGTTTTATTAAAAAAGTATATATATATTTTTTTTAGATACATAATTATAATTATATATTTGTGTAAGAGAGAGACCCTAATAGCACAGATGTTCAGGAGACATTCAGGAGTACATCCTGAGAAAATTCTGAGGACATTTGTTCGTCCTCATGATATCCTTAGAATGTTCTAAGAAGATCTTGTGTTGGGAAGAGTCAAACGTGTTATCACAATTACTATATCATTCTTTATTACACATATGAACTTATACATGGTAAATACGTGACACACACATCATCAAAAATAAATAAAATAAAAAAACAATCTAAAAAATCATATAATTATTATCAATATATATATATATATATATAAACATAATATTCACATTTTTCTATAATATAATTCTATATTCTATAATTACTTATAATTATGTATTGTATCAGTTTTTTATGCTTTTATTTTAATTGTTTTGAATATTTTTTATATTTTATTTTTAATTATATTTTATTTTGTGAATTGCATGAAAACACTACTCTCAATTTACATCTCACTACATTTCACGAAGCATAAATGCTACATCTCTCAAAACAGAAAGAAGACAGAGAGCGCTAACAGTCATCAAGTCTGCATTTGCGCTTACGTCAAAAGTCATCACGATCTACGAGACACCAACTATATTCATTTATTCAAGTAGCTATAGAACTATGTGTCTACATTGTCGTAAACTTATTTTTTTTAGTGGAATTATATAACTTTTTTAACATAAATCGATTTTTTGAACATACCATTTTGTATAAAATTAGTTAAGTAAGATCATTGGAAAGAGAATATTCTCTCCGAGATATTATATATTTTATCCTCATACTTTTCGATATAACATATAAAATGTCTCGCAAATTATTCATTTTTCGATAATTTCATATCAATACTTTTATACATATAACGATCTGAGGAAACGATTTATAGAAAAAGTCATACAACTCCGCAACGAAGTTCATAGATTTGGCTGCTTATGTTACATATTTGAAAATTTACCGGTCAAACACCTAATTTTCTTCAACAAAGTTTATATTATATTAATTTACAGAATCACAAATATTTTTAAAAATACGTGCAAAAATAAATTGAAGCATTGTTTTCAAGTATAATACCTCCTTAATATATTAGGTTTTATCTATAATAAAACTCTAATGCATTAAGAAGACGAAACTGTTCAAAATTTTAAGAAGAAGTCTTTGCTACATGTTTTCCAGCGTTATCGATAACTACTTCCTTTACATTTTTGTATTGTTAAAAAAAGAATCTTGCTAAAATAATTCTCTAATAAAACATCTTGTATAACGTTAATACACCATTTTTTTTAAGTTTTCGATTTATAAAAGACGAATGTTGTTCTTCAGGAATAAATCTGGACACACGTTTTGGAGCGCCATGTACGTTGACCATGAAATCATGAAACAAAAGCACTTTTGAGTCGTCCTGTATACCATTCGCCTAGGAGAATTAAAGCAAACAGACCACTCAACGCAGACGTGCCTCAATCGCGTCTCGATCCTCGTAAATACCATTTATCTCGAGGAGAACGCGGTGTGCGAACGCAACTCGTGAAGTAAAGTTGAAACTGAAAACACGAAATTTATCCGTGATAAGACCCCCTACGAGCAGCTGACCGAGCAGATTGCGATAACCCGGTACTGCTTGGTGCTACTTGTTGCTGCCTTCTCCCCGGTTCAGTCGGCCTTGCTTTGCCTGCCACATTGCTTAGGATATTAACTACGAGCATCATGAGTGATAAAAGTGAGAAGAGCGAAGTGATCAATTTCGGCGCCGGCCCGGCTAAACTACCGCACGAGGTGTGTTGAAACTTTCTTTTGCAATTTTCCAGCTTTCCTCTTACAACTTCTATTAGTCGGAAAAATTATAAGTACACCCGTTAAGAGATTACTCACCAAAAATGCATTATATTCTAGTCTGAGAAATAATTTTACTTGTAAAAATGCATTATATATTACAGTCTGAAAAATAATTTCGCTAATGCTTTACGTAAGATATTTGAAACTAATTACAAGACAATTATTCCCCAGACAGCACAAGATCTCCTGAGGACGTCTTAAAGACGTCCTGAGGACGAAAAAATATCCTCAGAACTTGCTCAGGATGTACTCTGGATGTTCCCTGGACATCTGTGCTGTTAGGGTCTCTATGTAGATATATGATAATTTATTGAATATTAAAATGTATGACAGACGTTACTTTGAGGATACATTTTCAAAGATAAAATGAAAAGATAATTTTAACGAGACGAGTGATCGTATTATTAGATGCATTTTGAAAAGCAATGATAGACGCGTGCATTTTTATTTTATGATAAATTCATGTAGAATTATATTTAGAAAAAGAAATATACATATGTATCAACCATTTTCTGCTTTTATGCAAGGACATAAGGCTGCGGATTCCAGCTATAATTTGGCTCAATTAGCGTTTATAAGAACGTATTATTGCTCTACAGAGATACGAGCTCAGCTGCTTTGCACAGCCGTTTTGTACAAATCGTTTCTTCATTGTGGCGCTGATATCTGTACACAAAATTATTTAAATCTTGACAATTTATATTCTTGGTTTATATTTTCAAAGTATATTAAAAATTTATACAATTCATCGATTAAGTTTGCGTTTTAACGTAATTCCTTACAACTTATCCGCGCGTTAAATAATCATTCTTTTTATTTAAATAATTGTTATTCACGTTGTTCTTGTATTTTTATGTACACAATGCAATTAATAATTCATGAATGCATGATAATCCACGTACGTATACATTACATGTAACATCGATAATGTTTTAGAAGAAACTTACACGAGGAATTATTTGCGAATATATGTCGTGTACGATTATGTCATTATGGTATAATTTATGATACAATATTTTATTTGCATCGCAACATACTAATAATTGTCGCGGTAAGAGCGATTCATGATCTTCAAAGTGACGAAAATCAATTACCATTCATCTCACGGATCCTCGTATTTCATTATCTTAAATTAATATTTTGGCTTTGCGACTCACGTCAAATGAATAGTGCTGGAACAATGATCCGAAATTGCACTGCTTGTGTTACCAAAGAGCAATATCACCTGCATCCATACAGCATAAATGCCTAAAAAATATCTTGAAGATATTCTATAATTATTTTAGATATTTTTAGGATGTCTTCAAATTTGTTTGATTTATTTTAGACATTCGTGCTGTTTAAGTACTTTAAAGTCGGTTATCGATACCAGTCTATTTTGAATGACACAATGTCATTATTGTTATGTTATTCTTGCGCAAATACAATATATGCTAGTTGACAAATCATGCTAATGATACTGTCGTTAGGATCTTACAGAATAAAGCCTTATTCTGTAAGTTCCTAACGACAATATAATTAGCATGAATGTAGCTTTAAAAAATAGTATAGTAAATAGCTTTAATTAAAGAAGTCCTGAGAATTATGTGTTACGCAAAAATCCTGTTAACGGAGTTACAACGTAATAAATTGCAGAACAGATCCGCATGCCAAAAAGATAACAACGACAAATGCTGGTCAATCGCGTTCATTGAACTTACACGTATGTGGCTTGACCGTCGCTCTATCATTTGTAGGTTCTGAAAAACGTGCAGAGAGAATTGCTCGCATACGGAAACACCGGGATCAGCATCGTCGAGTTAAGTCATCGGTCGAATGATTTTAAAAAAGTGATCGACGATGCGCAGGCCACGCTGCGAGACATCTTGTAAGTGAAGACGAGCGAGTCGATTAATTTGAAAATTGCTACAATGCACTGATGCGACGTTTCCGTTCTGAAAGACGATCGAACTTGCCTTATTTTAAAAATAAATAGCTTAAATAAATAGTAATAAGTGCAATGAGTAGCAACAGGTGTAATAAATGAACAAACAATATTAGGTGGTAATAAATGGCTGAAATAAGTAATAAACAGTAATAAGAGCTGATGAATAAGTGGAAACATATATTCCAGAGTAAAAATAAGAAATTTACTAATCGGGAAAGATGTGAAAGATAAATGTGTGATAAATTGTGATTTAAATCTCTTTAATTTGAACGTTATTGAAAGTCTTAATTAATCTAAAGTCGATTTTCCTTCAAAATTTTACTGACGAAAGATCTGTTCTTTTCAGCGATATTCCCGACAATTACAAGGTCCTATTTATGCAAGGAGGCGGCACCGGACAGTTCGCAGCAATTCCTCTGAATATTATGAACACTGGCACCGCGGATTATTTAGTGACTGGTGAGAAATACATTTTGAAATCTCGACGAAATGACTTTTCAATTCCTGCCAAAACAGAATAACTAACACGAATGTCTGCTTAGGATCATGGTCGGCGAAGGCAGTGAAAGAGGCTGTCAAGTACGGAAAAGTCAATATGGTGTTGCCGAAAACGACCAAGTACACAGGAATTCCGGATCCGTCCACTTGGAACTTGGATCCGAATGCCTCATACGTTTATTATTGCGCCAATGAAACTGTTCACGGTTAGTGAACTCAAGTCCTTGAAATTTCACCCCTTGGTGAAATTTTATTACTGGCACTCTAGCGCAGCCGATATATGTAAAAAAAATGTTTTCAGGTATCGAATTTGATTACATTCCCGAGACAAACGGAATACCGCTGGTCGCTGATATGTCATCGAACATTCTTACAAAACCTTTAGACATATCGAAGGTAAGGTGATAAAAAAATGCAGTCGATTGAGACTATATTGAGATAAGTCGTGATGATTGATGGATTCAGTGGCGTGTTGTTTTATCACTTTATCAATTTCCAATGATATATGGAGAAATTCGAAAGCGATAATCTGTGATGTCATTAGCTAACGCGTGTGTATTATAGATTTCTATATCTCTACATGTATGGCTGTGTTCCGTAATACACGTATGCGCGCATTTTCCACAGTATACGCGACATGAACTATAGATAAATGCACGCACACATATTATAGAACGTAGTTTACATTTATTGTTTCTGCCCACAGAAAGTTACATACTGTATTCAGATAAATGTTACTTGTTTCAAGTTTTTGATAAGTTCGTATATCCATATAAATTTATTATAAGGTCATCATAAACATCAAATTTGTTCTGAATTCTGGTAAATTTAGCATTTTGATCAAGAATATTGAGAAATTCGGTTTACTTACATAAACTCGACCAGCTTTTTCTTCGATAAAGTTTTATAATATTCTTATAGAAAAAATTAATTTTTCTTTTGAATATATAATAATAAACTTTTTGAAAATTTGTGATAAGTATATTTTGAGACTATTATAAAAAAAATATTCTTTATGAAAATAACAATATAGATATAGCCATATAGAGAGAGAAATAAGAAAATATTCTTTGATAAAGATAACGATTATTAAAAAAAATTAAAGTAAACTGAGTAATTGCTTTAATTGTAAGTAGCAGTGGAATAATATTTTTCTCTGTGTGCGCAGATTAATGAATTTGTTTTGTATCATGTTGACAATGTTTTCTCTCTAATGCGATTTTTTCGTAGAATTGTTGCGCGTCTTGAAATTTACCGGAGTGGAAAAGTAAATAAATTCATGCCGCACGCATCCTTTTTCAGTTTGCTGTGATTTTCGCTGGTGCTCAGAAGAATATTGGTCCAGCTGGTATTACCGTAGTGATTATACGAGACGATATGCTCGGTCGTGCCATGGATGTATGCCCGACAATATTGAATTTTACAGTCATGGCAAACGAAAATTCTCTACACAACACTCCACCAGTTTTCCAGTAATTTTAATTATTTTTCATCAGCGGAAACTAATTTTCTTCTTCTTCTAAAAAATTTGGCCTGGAAATTTAACCCCTTTGGCCAATCATACCAAATTATACAAACAAAAATTCTTTCATATGATAAACTAATTTTCTAAATTGTTTCCTTACTGTATCGTCAATTTGTAGTGAAAATATCTACGATTAATTATTGTCATTTCGCTGATTACTTTTCATAGGATATATGTGGTGGGTATGGTGTTCGAGTGGATTAAGCATCATGGTGGAGTTGAAGGTATGCAAAACCTCGCAAAGAAGAAAAGTAGCAAGGTGTACGGTATGATCGATAAATCTGGAGGTTTCTACAAGTGCCCCATCAATCCAGACGCGCGGAGTAAAATGAACATTCCGTTTAGAATAAAAGATGGCGACGAAGAGCTTGAGAAAGAATTTCTCTCTGGAGCGCAAGCTCGTGGCATGATGCAATTAAAAGGTCACAGGTCAGTATCAGAAAACTGCAATTATACTTTTATTAGTTTAGTCGATTAAAACAATTACAAGAGACAAGGAAAAAATTTCAACCACTTTTTGTATTTTCAAATTTTAAAAATATATATATAACAGCGAAGAAGAAATATATCCTGTAATAGAATCGACTTATTTACTAATTTATTAGTAATTTGTTTTTTAATTAATATTAATATTAATTCTATCATTCCTATTACAAAACTTCCTTTTCTTCAAATTCTGAAGTTTTATAAAGGAATAATCTTACAGCAATAAAGCAGTATTTTCGTGATTATAATTTTTTTGTAGATCTGTGGGTGGAATAAGAGCATCTTTGTATAATGCAGTCACGGAAGATGAAGCACAAACATTAGCAAATTACATGAAATGGTTTTACGACAAGTATTGCAAATAAAGTGGAAAGTGATTTTAAATATATTAAGTAATGGATATCGGACCTTTTTCAATGGAACTATAAACAAGTGCTTATGTATATATTGTTTTAAATAAAACAAGGAAAGCCGTTGATATTACTTTTGGCACGTTTGACTATTAGGGTATGATTGAGTTTATGTGAAAATTCATGATTGATACTTTCATGATTGATCAATTAATTTAAAAGAGTAAGGCCTGGTTGCACCAACATTATTTTGGCTTTAAGCGAAACTTAAACATATATCTATCTTTATTTTTCTTTCTATGTAAATAAAGATAGACATATATTTAAGTGTCACTTAAAACCAAAATAACGTTGGTGCAACCGGGCCTAAACAAAATAAATTTATCCTTGAACAGTAATATAATCGAACATCGATTTATCTCGAGTCGAGAGTATCGCTCATCCCTACCGTAAACAAACCTAACCTTTTATTGAGAGAGAGAGAAACCTAACCTAATTTAACTTACAAGTTGACTAGTGATACATCTCCTTGTGAGTGTGCCTTTTTAATTGTGGAAAAATGTCTCTGAAGAGGAAATTGACGCAGGATGATCTACGTAAAGCGATGAATGAACATAAGAAGAAACTCGTTACAGTTAAAAAGATTGAATCGCCATTGGCAAAATATCCTTTTTATAACTCGACAATGTAATTTGAGGTTAACTTACCTTTTTAAACTATTACAGCTTTTAAACTATCATTATTATATCGCAGTGTATGTATATATGCTTGCACTCTATAATTATAACTTTCTATGATTTATCGACATCGGTAAATATTTTTTTACTGTTAAAACAATATCATTCTTAGAGCGTTCTTCATGTTAAGAACAACCTTAACTCCTATAAACACATATACAGATTCAGGTCAGCTTATGTGCATTTTATGCAAGTCGGTTGTGCGCAATGAAACAGTATGGCCTGTTCATCTAAATTCCAAAACACATAAAGAAAACATTGCAGTAGCAAAAAAGACCAAACTAGAGACAGAGAGTATGGTAAAAACATCGAATGTTACAGTATTCAAAAGACCCCTCTCACCATCCCAAAACAGTTCTGCAAATAAGAAAATAAAGGGAATATTGAAGAACAGTAATCAACCAGTAGCGCAAACTAAGTCAAGTTTACCAGCAGATTTCTTTGACAGTGATTCAAAGCAAGTTAATGGTGGGCCTTCTTCTGCAACACAAAAGAAGGAAAGTAAAGATTCTACAGTTAGTATTATAGATGTATCAAGTATAGAAGCAGAGGAAGAAAAAGAAAAGGAAAAAGAAAAAGTAAAGGATACAAATGTATCCGTTCTTCCAGAAGGATTCTTTGATGATCCAGTAATGGATGCTAAGGTAAAAATAAAAAAAGCTATAAAGTACATGAAAATTAAATGTATATTATAATGTATAATGTATTAGTATTAGCATTGAAGTATAATATGCATCAATTTACTAAACTAAAATGTATTTTGTCCTATTTTTCTATGTTTTTAATTGTTCCCTTTAGGTTCGTAATGTCGAATACAAGGATCCTATAGAGGAAGAATGGGAGAAATTCCAAAAAGAGATTAAGGAAGAAACTGCACAATCTGCGCAAATTATTGCAGATGATCAAGAGGAAGCAACAACGGAAAGGCAACTGGATGAAATTGAGGAACAAATTAGGCATTGGTCTAGGTAAATATATCCCTAACGTTGCTAAAGAGAAATATTTTATATGAGTCATACAAGAGATATTTCAATTATAAATCATTGTCCATAACAGGGTAATGGATCTTGTAAAGCGTAAGGAACAAGTGCAGGCTACCGATAGAAAGCAAGAAAACTTCGATGATAACATATCGAGCGGTGACGAAACCGAGTTTGACGAGTTCCTCGACTGGCGGGCAAAGAACTCCTACAAATAAAATTCTTTGTGTATATAATATCTTTGTAAATATCATCTTTTTGTCGTCTTAGCACAAGTATTTGTATAAAATTGTAAACTTTTTAAATTCAGTCTTTCTAATATTTTATATATGCTAATCCCTGTGTCCCTCAATTATTATAAACATTTTCATTAGTTTTATTATGTTATAATAATCATTGTATTGAAATTCAATTATAATTGTGTAATAATAATTATTTATGATCTTAATGAGATTTCAATAATCAATATATGGAGAGAGTATTATAATTTTGTATAATATAAATTTATTTCAATTTTACTGTGCTTTTAATAGTCTAGGAACACAAACAGTTAATAAGATGTATTTAGGCTACGTTCCGAAATTCATTGTCAGTACTGAAAATCTATAGTTCATATTACGTATACTATAGAATTTTAGTATTGACAGTGAATTTCGAAACACAGCCTTAGATGCATCTTGCTAAGAAGTATAGTAAATCCTGCTAGAAACAGCAAGTGTTTTAATAACATATTTCAGTTCTTAAAATATATAAATAGCGCTTGTGAAACGAAGGGATAGTGAGTTATTGCAGAATCAATATATTCCTCGATCACAAAATCTTATCAGTAATCTGCATTATAAAATTCTTTCCATTTGTAATATACAGAAGTGTGTAAATGATATTAAGAAGTGTAATTAAATATTATAATGCAAGCAGGATCTCAATGTAATTATTCACATGATATAGAGTTCGTAAAATATTCATAGGAATAATGTTTCCAAATCACGATCCCGGCGCGACGCGAGACGCGAGTGCGTGCGATTTCATGTAAACAAACACGGATGAGCACGCGGATACATACACACCGCGCACGCGCGGTGACACACCACACACATGCGCGCGCGGCCGGCTCCAGTGTAGCCTTTGTCGCCACTGTAGACAGACGGACTTGCGTCGCGCGCGATTTTCGATTTTTCTATGTTAATCAGTGCGTACCTATGCAATGATTTTACGCGTGTGTTCATCGTGCTGGGGTCATTGTGAGCAGTATGAATATTCTGTACTTTCAAAGGTAATTACTGTCTTCTAAAATATCTTTTATATCCCTCGCATTTTTAGTGAGAGAAAGAAGAGTCACAGAAGTCGAGCTGTGTATTTCCGTTATTCCTATTCCGATATTTCCGTGTTCTAGATTTATCCGAACTGAGCAATATCTCGATTGTTATAACTAATCAAGAAAATTGTTATAACTAATCAAGAAAATTATTTTTCTGTTCCAGATCTCGTGAAATTCGCGACTACATCGCGAAGGCTCGCGGAGGATACGGACGTGGAAAATCCGTTTTGAAGCATGAAAAGTCAATTCAATGGTGAGTTTACAAACTGTTTATACTTCTCTGTTTGATTCTCTGGAATCGACAGTTTGCAAAGAAAGCTGTCAGAGTAAAGATAATTCATAGTTCAATCTTTTATACCGTTTATACTGTTCACTCGCGATGTATTTCAAACATTGCTAATTTAGCCTAGTCTTAGTTGCTAACCTAACCTAATCTAAACTAAGCCGGTTGAAGAATTGAAATGATCACTGCACTGTGAAAGAAAAAATATCTATGAAATAAAAAAGTATTTGTTCTGTGGGTACTATAATGACATATATATATATATATATATA